AAATCAATCCAATTTACACTGCAACAACAACAAAAATAAGGTGCCCAGGAATAAACTTAACCAAGGAGGCAAAAGATCTGTACTCAGAAAACCATAGGACAGTGAAGAGAAAAATAGAGGAAGATGGTAACAAATGAAAACGTATACTGTGTTCATGGATTGGGAGGATTTACATCATTAAAATGTCCATACTATGCCCTAATAGGTTTGGCTCAGTGAATAGAGCAGCGGCCTGCAATCTGAAGGATCCCAGATTTGACTCAGGTCAAGGGCCTGTACCTTAGTTTCAGGTACATCCCCAATAGGGGGTGTGCAGGAGCCATTATAGATATTTCTAACTTTCTCTTTTCTTTTTAAATTTCTTTATTGATTCAGATATCACATATTTGTCCTCATCCCCACATTCCCATCCCAAACCCCTCCCTACATTTGCCCCCACACCTCTGTTGTCCATGACCACTGGTTAGGCTCATATGCATGCACACAAGTCGTTTGGTTGATCTCTCCCACTTATCCCCACACTCCCCTACCTTTCCTCTGTGGTCTGACAGACTGATCTTTGCTTCTGTCTCCAGCTCTCTTCTTGTTCATCAGTGTATATAGTTCATCATTTCCCCTAGATGAGTGAGATCTATCTCTCTCGCTTCCTTTATGTAAAAAAATCAATAAAATATATCTTTTAAAAATAAAATGTCCATACTATCTAAAGGAATCCATAGAGTCAATGCAATCTCTATTAAAATATCAAAAGCACCCTAGCCGTAGGCAACTGCTTAGGTTGCCTTATACCTAGGTAAGTGTTACACTGCTGGGAGAACAGCAGCCGAAAGCTGGCTGGCATCCTGGGCCTGATTCCTACCAACTCTGTTGTTAACTATATCAGGATGCCTGCATAATTTTAAAAAAATACCAAAAGCATATTTCAGAGATCTAAACAAATAATCCCAAAATGTATATAGAACCAGAAAAGACTGAATATCCTCAGCAATCTTGAGAAAGAAGAACAAAGTTGGAATGGTCACAATACCAGACATCAAACTATACTACAAAGCCACTGTAATAGAAAAAGCATGGTACTGGCACACACAAAAAAAGCATATATTGTAGATTAATGGAATGCAACAGAGACCCCACAAGTCAACCCACGCCATTATGGTCAATTAATTTTTTTGTCAAAGGTGTCAAGAGCATGTAATGCAGCAAGACGGTTTCTTCAATAAATGGATTTGAGGATATTAGACAGGTACAAAGAAAACATGAAATTAGACCACCAACTTACACCATACACAGGAACGAACTGAAAAGGATAAAAGACTTAGTTGTAAGCCATGAACCCATAAAAATTCCAAAATAAAACATAGGCAGTAATATCTCAGACATCTCATGTGGCAGTATTTTTGCTGATAAATTTCCTAGGGCAAGGAGAACAAAGGGAAAAAAATCAACAAATGGTACTACATCAAACAAAAAAGTGGCTGCACTGTCAAAGAAACCATCAACAAAATGAAATGGAAACAGACTGTATGTAAGAACATATTTGCCAATGTTCCATTTGATAAGGGGTTAATTTCCAAAATACATAAAGAACTTATACAGCTCAGCACTAGGAAAACAAGAAACGATCAACAAAACAACAAGAAACCCCACATATGGGAGAACATATTTGGAAATGTTATCACTGATAAAGGTTTCATCTCCAACATCTACCAACAGCTTATACAACTTAATAAAAGGAAAAATAATCCAATATGATCCAATAAAGAAATGGGCAATGGACCTAAGTAGAATCTTTTCAAAAGAAGGAAGGCCAAGGGACTCATGAAAACATGCTGAAAGTCACTAATTATCCGAGAGATGCAAATCAAAACGACAATGCAGTACCATCTCACACCAGCCAGAAAGGCTAAAAAACAAATCAACAAATGACAAGTGTTGGCAAGGATGCGGAGTAAAAGGACCTCTTGTGCACTGCTGGTGGGAATGTAGACCGGTGCAGTCACTGTACAGAACAGTATGGAGCTTCCTCAAAAACTGAAAATGGAACTCCCATGTGACCCAGTAATCCCACTCCTAGGAATATATCCTAAGAAACTGGAAACACCAATCAGAAAGGATATATGCACCCCTATGTTCATAGCAGCACAATTTACAATAGCTAAGATTTGGAAACAGCCTAGGTGCCCATACTTGACTGGATCAGAAAAGTATGGTACATCCACACAATGGAATACTATGCTGCCATAAAAAAGAAGGAATTCTTACCATTTGCAGCAACCTGGATGGAACTGGGGAACATTATGCTAAGTGAAATAAGTCAGTCAATGAAAGAAAAAATTCCACATGATCTCACTCATTTGTGGATAATAAAGAACATTATAAACCGATGAACAAAAAGATAGATACAGAGACAGTAAAGCATCATACAGAATGTCAAATTACAGCGGGAAGGTTAGGGAGAGGTGGGGGAAATAGATCAAACAAAAGACTTCTGTGCATGCATATAAGCATAACCAATGGAGTCAAAACTCTGGGGGTTGAGAGCATGCATGGGAGTGGGGTGGAGGGGGGGGCAATGGTAAGATATGTACACATATAATACCTTAATTTTAAAAAATGAAAGAAAAAAATAAAATAAAATTGGGCAAAGGACCTGAATAGACACTTCTCCAAAAGAACTCAAAGATGGCGAATAAACATATGAAAAAAATGCTCAAGTTCACTAGTCATCAGAGAGATGCAAATTAAAACTACAATGAAATATCACCTCATACCTGCCAGAATGGCCACCATCAATAAATCAACAAACAACAAGTGATGGCAAGGATGTGGGGGGAAGGGGGGGGGAAAAAAAGAATACTCTTACACTGCTAGTTAGAATGTACACTATCACAGCAATTGTGGAAAACAGTATGGAATTTCCTCAAAAAATTAAAAATCAAACTGCCATTTAACCCAGAGATCCCACTTCTGGAAATAGAGCCTAAGAATCCCAAACACCAAATCAGAAAGAATATATGCACCCTATGTTCATAGCAGCATATGTACAATAGTCAAGGTCTGGAAACAACCGAGGTGCCCATGAGCAAATGAGTGAATGAAAAAGCGGTAGAACATTTAGGCAATGGAATACTAACTAGCTGTGAAAAAGTTATATCTCACCCTTTGTGATAGCATGCATGGATCTGGAATCTATAATTCTAAGTGAAATAAACCAGTCAGAGGAAGAAAAATATTACATAACCTCACTTATATGTGGAATATAATGAGCAAAGTACACTGATTAACATGAATACATGGAACAGATGACACATGACAGCGTCGATAAGGCTCGGGGAGGTGTTGGGAGGCGTGCAGGAAGGAATTAACCAAAGGCCATAACACATGGACACCGACAATAATGTGGTAAAGGCCTGGGGTGGGGTGGGTGCTGAGTAGAGGGGCAAAGGGGAGAACAGGGGATTTCTACAATACTGTCAACTATAAAAAAGACAATAGATATCGTCATTAAGGCAAAGATTGACTTTTATCATGGAAGATTCTGGCCTAGGAGATGACTGCCTGCTATAACCTGCTTTTAGTTAGAAAGTTTTAATTTCAGACTATCTTATGTGGTTGTATTAGTTTTTGAGTTTTTAAGGTTACTATGCAGCTACCCTCTCTCCTGCTGCCCTGAGCTTTACAGTTTTTGTTTATGGTGCTCTTTTCATCCACATGACAAAATTTGTAAGAGAAGTATTTTCATTGGAGCTATAGAGGAGACATAATTGTAGCCAGCACTAGAATTTTCGAGCAGAAAAAAATATTTAAAAATTAAACTAAAAGTTAAAAATACACTAACCAATCACTAACCCTAATGCATAAAGCACCTTATACATGGACATCAATCTTCCATACTTTGATGAGTACAGCATGAAAAAGCAAGATTTTGCATAGTAACAAAATTAGTGCTTAACAATTTTGCTTCCTCATATTTCAGGTCATCTCTGACATTAAAGATGTATTAAATTAATTGATGAAAACTTGCTTTTCCATGTAGATGTCACTAGTAGATATATATCTGATAGTCAATTTTTGTCAGTGTCTGTAGTAGGAATTGGGGACAGTGAGCTGAATAGCACCATAAAGTCAGGAGACCATTTATAAAGCAGAGTGCCAGGTTTGCAGAGTAATTGCCTGACACTGAACATTTAATTTCCAAGGCATTCATTTGAAAGATAACCATGTTGAATAAACATATGGCCACCTCTGTGACAGGCTGTGAGATAAGCACCCAGGCCAACTGGCCCAGGAAGTTCTTCTTATAGAAAGTTCTGGATAACATAGGTCACTGACCTCTGAGTGACCCTCCTTTTCACTTTCACACACTAATGCCTGCTCTTAACTTTTAAATTCACCAAGAAGGAGTGAAAATTTGAAATTCAATGCATCCTGCCCTTGGACTATAATAGATTCAGAGACCTCAGTTGTGTTTTCTTTCTCTTTTGCCCCTCTCTCTTCTTCTTTTTTTTTTTTTTTTCTTTCTTCCTTCTCCTCATTCTCCTCTTTCCTCCAACTCCTTCTCCCTCTCTCCCCATGAACTTTTGTGTGGACTTCAGGCAGGGTGTGCAAGCAGGGTTTGTGAGCAATGGACCTTGCTTTTACCAGGGTCTCTGATTGTTGCTGCTTGTGTGAATCTTGCACTCATAATAAGAACCACAAGGGCTGGGCCAGCAACAACTTAGGCTCAGGTCAGTGTCATGAGAATTCAAGGCCCTCGGGAGTGCTCCAGCCATTTATAATGAACATATTTTTTTATCAATCAGCTGAGACTTAAATGGAACAACATTTAACATCTACACTATCATGAAGAAATAGTGATATAAAAATGAATGACAGATGCAAAGTGAAAACTGGTTTCAAATTTCCCTGTACAATAAAATTAAATAAAAGTTGTTACATGTCACATGTACTTTTGTCCATATGAGCAATACAATCCTGATTTTTTTTTTTTTCAGGAAAACTAGAGGAAAATTTCTTAGCATGATATATGTCACTTGAGATGAAATTATTTTAGAGAAATCCAAGTTGTCCCATGAAAGATATGAATATTTCCAAATGTTTCTGATGCAAGGTTGAGAAAAACTTTGAGATTGTATAAAAATGGTAAAAACAGACCAGAAGCTTAATAAAGTGAATTATTTATATAGAGAAGTTAAACACAAAAAAATGGACATGCCAGGGAATAAACAGAAGGGTCCAGTTCTCTTCCACATGATCAATCACAGTTTCTGGTTTCAGGGTGTTGAGCCATGAAATCAAAGGCACTTTTTTAGCCCCAAAACAATTGTCCCTTTGATACTTGTCATCCCCAAGAAGCTATTCAGAGCCCTCTTTATGTCTTTGTTCCTGAGACTGTAGATGAAAGGGTTCAGCATGGGTGTGACCACCGCGTACATCACTGAGGTGATTGCACTTGACTGTGAGGTATGAGTAGGAGCAGAGCTGAGGTACACGCCTAGGACTGTGCAATAAAATAAGGAGACTACTGAGAGGTGAGACGCACAGGTAGAAAATGCCTTATACTTCCCCTGAGCTGATGACATTCTACATATGGAGGCCACTATTTTAGAGTAAGAGTAAAGGATCCCAGCCAGGGGACCACCAGCCAACAGTACAGTTGTAAAATACATCACAGTGTCATTAAGAAAGGTGTCAGAAGAGGCAAGTTTAATCATCTGCTTAATTTCACAGAAATAATAGGGAATTTCCAATTCCACAGGGAAGGACAGTCTCGATACCATTAAGCTATGTAACAAGGAATTCAAAACACTAATGATAAAAGACACCAGAACCAGCAGTCCACAGAGCCCGGGGTTCATGATGACCATGTAATGCAGTGGGTGGCAGATGGCCACATACCCGTCATAAGCCATCACGGTTAGAAGGAAGTTGTCCCACCCTCCAAAGAGTATGAGAAAATAAATTTGGATAAAGAAGACTGCACAGGTGATGACTTTGCTCTGTGTCTGGATGTTCCACAGCATCTTTGAGATGGTGGTGGAGGTGAAACAGATATCTACCAAGGACAGGTTGGAGAGGAAGAAGTACATGGGCGTGTGGAGATGGGAGTCGGAGCTGAAAGCCAGGATGAGGAGCAGGTTTCCCAACACAGTGATCAGGTACATGGAGAGGAAAAGCCCAAATATGAGGGGCTGCAGTTCTGGTTTTACTGATAATCCCAGAAGGAGAAATTCTGAACCATTGCCTGGACCCATGGTAGAGGTGATGACTAAGAATGAAAATATAACATAATTAATTTTCATATAAATGGGCATTACTAGCCATTGAAATGCTATAATTTATATTTTGTGGTAATAGATACATGAAGCCCAATGCACAACTTGAAATCACACGGTGCTACCAGCCCTTGAGTCGCCCCACAGTTGCTGGTCTGGCCCTGCTTCCCTCTTCCACCCTTGAAGCAGCCATGGCCACTGCTAATCAGGCCCTCTCCCAGGGCAGGTGAGCAAAGGCTCCAGCTGACCACCCCCGATGCTGTGCATGCAACCTCCTCCTGTCTGGTTGACCCATTATGGTGTCCCAGTTAATTAGCATATTTCCCTATTATATAAATATGTGTGTGTGTATATATATATATATATATATATATATATATATATATATATATATATATATATATATATATTACAAATCATACCCTTTAAGGAATCCCCTGTGACATCTCTCATTCAGGTGTTTAAATACATTCAGACTGTTCTCCAAGCAGGTAATGTATTTCACAATGTTACTGAGAAATGCTTTCATGTCCCTGAGAAATATATGTTGAGTACTGACCATCTCCAGGAAAAAGGTGTAGGATTCTGAGAAGCAAAATCTCTAGAATATAATGATGGTGAAAAATATATGCAAAATAAGTATCATATAACGTTAGATGGTGTCAGGTGCCCTAAAAAAAAAAGTAAGTATAAAAGAGAATTTATGGGTGTTATTTTTTACTGATACTTCAGAAAGACCTACAAACAAGGTAGCATTTGAAAAGAAAACTTAAAGAAGTCAGAATGGGAAACATGAGGTTATTTAGAAAATTGTTTGAGGAAAGAGCCAGAGCAAAGGTCCTGATGATAAGATTGTTTTCAGATATTCAAGACATAGGTGATGACTTTGTGTCTGGATGTTCCAGAGCATCTTTCGGATGGTGGTGGAGGTGAAACAGATGTCTACCAAGGACAGGTTGGAGAGGAAGAAGTACATGGGTGTGTGGAGGTGGGAGTCTAAGCTGATGGCCAGGATGATGAGCAAGTTTCCCAACACAGTGATCAGGTACATGGAGAGGAAAAGGCCAGATATGAGGGACTGCAGTTCTGATTCCTCTGAAAATCCCAGAAAAAGAAGTCATGAAATTTGTGTATAATTGCCTGTACCAAGTGCTGGTCGTCATGACTAGGGGGGAGAAAATTAGTTTCACATAACATGGTGGAAGTTTCACTAACATGTTGGAAATGCTACAGTTCCAATGCTTTGAGGGAACAAAATGCATGTACAAAAGTGATGTGGGGTGTAATTACTGTGAGTTCAGGGAAACCTAAGAACAAGGTAACATTTGAACAGGGAGCTCAAGGAAGAGAAAGCAGGAGACATATAGGTTTTTATGAAGCCTGTGCCCTGCAGGTGAAAGAACTAGTGCAACGTCCATGACACTTGTTTTAGATATTCAAGGTTCAAAATGGAGCCAGCATGGTGGGGGTATGAGCAAGAGTGGAGCGATGGGAGATGATGTCAGAGAATGTGGGCGAATGAGGTGGCCTTTCTGCTGATATGAAATTTCAAGTCACAGGGAACCTCTTTTACTTTTATATTAGGTCTGTCTGGCTTTAATGGGGTTTTGTTATTTGTTTGACTTCATTTGTCCTTGGGTTTAGCTGGCACAAATGGCTTTAATTGGGTCTTTGTTCTCTATTTTCATAGGCCACCTAAGCTATGTTATTTACAATCTGTAAGATTGTAACAGCCTAAGTGCCTATCAGTAGATGACTGGATAAAAAAGCTATGGGACATTTACACAATGGGATACTATGCAGCTGTAAAAAATTTAAAAAATTAAAAAAAAAAAAAAGGAATCCCTTACCCTTTGGGGCAGCATGGATGGACCTGGAGACTAATATCAATATGCTAAATGAAATAAGCCAATCTGAGAAAGACAAATATCACTTCATCTTACTTATTTGTGGAATCTAATGAACAGAATGAATTGACCAACAAAATAAGGCCTAAAGCATGAAGTCATGGAACTAGTTGGCGTACCTTGATGTGGGGATAGGAGGATGAGAAGAGATAAACCAAAGAACTTACATACTTACATGCATAGCCCATGGACACAGGCAATAGAGTGATGAAGACCTAGGGGGAAGGGGGGACATAGAGGGTGGGAGAAAGGGGGTAAAGTGAGTGGAACCATATATATATATATATATTTATATATTTATATTCATATTTATATTTATATTCATATTTATATTTATATTTATATTTATATTTATATTTATATTTATATTTATATTTATATTTATATTTATATTTATATTTATATTTATATTTATTTAATGAAAATATATATTAAAAATAAAAAATTAGAAAAAATAATTTTGTACCCATTAAAAATAAATAAATATAAGGGATTTTTTTTTTTAAGACTCTTCTTCAGCTAGTCTTCAGTTGCTAATTCAGAGTGAATGCTCCCCAATATAGTTTTACTTGTATTACCAGTTTGGATCTGAGAGGAGGTGCAATAAAGATCCACCTACCCCACTGGTGCCACATTCGAGGCAGGGTTCAGGATCTGAAGGTGGGGCTGACTCACAAATGAAAGTACTAGACAATAAATACGAATTTAGAAGGCAGTGGGGGCCAGGTGGAGACCTCTTTCTTGAAGGGACACACTGACCTCTGGCCTGATCTGTTTTTTATTTACTTGAACACACATTTTCCATTTAGCAATGCATACAAGCAGATCAAAGATAAAGATTGATAAACAGTATAAAGATGATCAGGTTAGGAAATTGCCTTGAACCATTGAGTCCACAGAAGGGCAATATTTTGCTGATTTTCAGCCCTGATGAAATGTATCAAAGTCCATTAGCATTCCAATGCTTCTTTTTGCATTAATATGATAACTGTTGTTTGCTTTAGTCTCTGGCACCCCACTACTACTTTGTACACCCTTGGACCTGGAGATTATTATGCTAAGTGAAATCAGTCAATCAGAGGAAGACAAATACCATGTGATCTCACTTATATGTGGAATCTATTGTATAGGACAAAATCAACTTAAGAACAAAATAGAAATATTGACGTCGATAATTGGAACAGACTGATGGCTGTCAGAGGAGAGGGGAGAGCGGAACTGGAAGAAAGAAGGTGAAGGGATTAGCCAAAAATATATATGTATAACACAGACACACAGACAACAGTATGACAATAGCCAGAAAGAAAGGGGGTTGAGGCTAAGGGGAAATGGAATAGAAGAGACTTTGTTTGGGATGAAGGTCTCACAATGTAGTGTGCAGATGATGTTTTCTTGAGTTGTACACTTGAAGCATGCATGGTTTTGCAAACCAACATCACCCCAATGAATTCAATTAAAAATATAATGGGGAGTTCATTTTTTAATTTTTTGAGGGAATTCCATATTGTTTTCCACAGTGATTGCACCAGTCTGCATTCCCACCAGCAGTGCACAAGGGTTCCTTTTTTCCACATCCTGGCCAGCACTTGTCGCTTGTTAATTTTTTGATGACAGCCATTCTGACAGGTGTGAGATGGTACCTCATTGCCATTTTGATTTGCATCTTTCAGATGATTAGTGACTTTGAACAGGTTTTCATATGTCTCCTGGGCTTCTGTATGTCCTCCTTTGAAAGGGGTCTATTTATGTCCTTTTCCCATTATTTGATTGGATTGTTTATCTTCCTTTTGTTAAGTTGCATGAGTTCCCTATAAATTTTGGAGATTAAACCCTTATTGGTTATAACATTGGCAAATATGTTCTCCCAGGCAGTGGGCTCTCTTGTTGTTTTGTTGATGGATCCAGAGATATAGAAGCATTGAACAGGCCATCCAACCTCCTAGGGAAGGTGAGGATGGGGGTGGGGAGTGGGGAGAGATCAAGCAAAGGACTTATATGCATGTATATAAGCATAACCTATGCACACAGACAGTAGGAGGGGTGAGAACATATACTGGGAGAGGTGGGGGAGGGAATAACTGGGGAGTGACCAATGTGGGAGAAAAGGAACATATGTAATACTTTAAACAATAAAGGATTAAATTTAAAAAATATAATGGGGAGGCAAACATTTAGTGGTCAGATTATTATGATCTCTGAACGCATAATAATCTAGCCACTCAGTGTATATCTTATATAATGAAAGGCTAATATGCAAATTGTTCCCTTGACCAGGAGTTCAACTAGTAGGCAGGCCGGCCAACCACCCATATCCCCTACCCCTGGCCAGGCTGGCCAGATCCCACCCATGCATGAATTCATGCACTGGACCTTATATACATAAACATATACATACACACACACACATACACACACACACACACACACACACACACACACACACACACACTGAGTGGTCAGACTATTAAGTGTTCAGCGATCGTAATAATCTGGCCATTCAGTATAATTTGACTGACTGACAGAACTGACCACACAAAATTTATAAAATTCATACATCCCTCCAATACATCTACACATCCTATCTAATAAAAGAGTAATGTGCAAATTGATCATCAATCAAACAAACAAGATGGCTGCCCCCATGTGGCCAAAGATGACTGCGCCCATGTGGACACAAGAAGGCCACCACAAGATGGCCTGCAGAGGAGGGCAGTTAGGAGTGATCTGGCCAGCAGAGGAGGGCAGTTGGTGGGAACCAGGCCGGCAGGGGAGAGCAGTTGGGTGGGACCAGATTGGCAGAGGAGGGTAATAGGGGGGGACCAGGCCTGCAGGGGGGGCAGTTGTAGGTGGCCAGGCCTACAGAGGAGGACAGTTGGAGAGAACCAACACCTGCAGGAGAGGGCAATTGAAGAGGACCAGACCCCTCTCTCTCTCTCTCTCTCTCTCTCTCTCTCACTCTCTCTCTCTCTTTCTCTCTCTCTCTCTCTCTCTCACACACACACACACACACTCTCACACACACTTTCTTGAATAGCTTTCGGGCTTGCAGAACCTATGAGTAATAAAACTTACATCTTCATTGTTCCATGATGGTTATTTCAATTATAATAAGGATCAAAAGGGTCCATCTAGTCACAACATTGACTGTCGTCTGAGGAACAAGTTGTAGGATCCAGGTCAGTGCCCAGGTATTTCTATCACATTGCATCACTATCAATATATTGTGACTTACTGAGAACAATCATAAAGTATACAGTATCAGAACGATCAGTTAAGGTACTGATGTACAAAGAATGAGGAACAAATAGTGAATACAATGTCAAATTACTTACAATGGTATATGTTATTTGAGAAGAAATTATTGTTAAGACATTGATGTTGACAATGAAGTAAATGAAAACTTCCAAATATTTCTGATCACAGTTGAAAAAAAAGGACAAAGGGAAAAACTGTGTACATAATAGACAAAGCATAAAGCTTAATAAAATGGTACCTGAAATTGTATAGAGAAGTTAAAACAAAGATAGGAAACTCAAGGACAGAAATAAAAGGAGCAAGTCTTCAAAACCACAATCTGATTAAAGAAAGAATCACAATTTCTGATTTTGAGCCTTGGAGCCTCAAAATCAAGGCTACTTTTTCAACCTCAGCATAATTATCGCCTTTGTACCTGCCATCCCAAAAAATCTACACAGGGCCTTCTTAATGTCTTTGTTCCTGAGACTGTAGATGAAGGGGTTCAGCATGGGTGTGACCACAGTGTACATCACCGTGGCTACTGCACTTGAATGTGAGCTGTGGGTAGCAGCAGAGCTGAGGTACTCACCAAAGACTGTACCATAAAATAAGGAGACAACTGAGAGGTGAGATGCACAGGTAGAAAATGCTTTATACTTCCCCTGAGCTGATGGGATTCTCTGTATGAAGGACACTATCTTAGAGTAAGAGTAAATGATACCAGTGAAGGGACCAGCAGCTAGTAACACAGTTATAAAATACATCACCACGGTATGAAGGAAGGTGTCAGAACAGGCAAGTTGGACCACCTGTTTAAGATCACAGAAAAAGTGGGGAATTTCCAAGTCCGTACAGAAGGACAGCTGCAATACCATTACACTTTGTAACAGGGAATTCAGGCCACTTATGATCCAGGATACCAGAACCAGCAGTCCACAGAGCCGGGGGTTCATGATGACCATGTAGTGCAAAGGGAGGCAGATGGCCACAAAGCGGTCATAGGCCATCACAGTCAAGAGGATGTCATCCAACACTGCAAAGAGTATGTAAAAATAAATCTGGGTGATGCATCCTGCATAGGTTATGACTCTGCTCTGTGTCTGGATGTTCCACAGCATCTTTGGGACGGTGGTGGAGGTGAAACAGATGTCTACCAAGGACAGGTTGGAGAGGAAGAAGTACATAGGTGTGTGGAGGTGGGAGTCTGAGCTGACAGCCAGGATGATAAGTAGGTTTCCCAACACAGTGATCAGGTACATGGAGAGGAAAAGTCCAAATATTGAGTGGCTGTAATTCCAGTCCTTCTGAAAATCCCAGAAGAAGAAATTCTGAAATTGTGGTATCATTGCCTTGTCCCATGTGGTAAAGGTGACTATTAGGAAAGAGAAAATATCATGATTAAGTTTTACATAAATGGCCATTACTAATATAGTTGAAATGCTACAATTATATATTGCAGTGAAGTAATAAATACTGTTTGTATGTATCATGGCCTTTAAGATACAACCCATCCCCTGACAACTCTGATTAGGATTTTCTGTGTCCCTTAGACCTTTTCCCAAGGTGGTCTTGGATTAGTGTTTTGATTTTGTTTTCAAATCTTTATTATTGAGAGTATTATAGATGCCCCCCTTTATCACTCTATTATACACCTCCACCCAGTTCCCACCCATCCCAGTTCTTCAGCATCCTTCCCTTTGTGTCCATAGGTAATATATATATATATATATATATATATATATATATATATATATATATATATATATATATATATATATATATATATTTTTTTTTTTTTTTTTTTTTTTTTCCTTTGGTTAATCTCTTCCTGCCTCCTTCCCCACTTCCCTCTGAGATTGGTCAGTGTGTTCCATGTTTCCATGCCTCTGGTTGTATTTTATTCATCAGTTGATTTTATTCATTAGATTCCTTGTTCATTTATCTTGATTTTTTTATTCCATTGATAATAGATATGTATTTATTGACATTTTATTGTTCATATATTTTTTTATCTTTTTCTTTTTTAACATTCCTGTTAAGAAATGAATTGACAGTTGTATGGACACTCCCTCATAGGTAACTAACTGCTTTTCTCTTGCTGCTTTTAAGATTCTCTCTTTGACTTTAACCTTTGGCATTTTAATTATGATGTGTCTTGATATAGGCCTCTTTGGGTTCCTCTTGTTTGGAATTCTCTGCACTTCCTGAAGTTGTAAGTCTGTTTCTTTCACTAGGTAGGGGTTGTTTTCAGTTATTATTGTTATTTTTAAGTACATTCTTATCATTGATAATATTACAGATATCTCCCATCCCTCTTTTCCCACTCCTCCCAGCCCCTTCCCAGCTCCCCAAGTCTTCAGTACCCTATTGCCCAGGTCCATGTGATATGCTTATAAGTGCATAAGTTCTTTGGTTTATTCAAATAAGTTTTCAATATCTTGCTCTCTTTTCTCCTTCTGGCACCCCCATATTGTGAATGTTGGTACACTTCAAGTTGTCCCAGAGGCTCTTTACACAATCCTCATATTTTTGGATTCTTCTTCCTTTTTGGTGTCCTGATTGGGTGTTTTTATTTCCTCATTTTTCAAAACACTGGTTTGGTTCTTGGCTTCCTCTATTCTATTGTTGAATCTCTGTAAATTCTTCTTTACTTCAGATAGTGCTTAATTTCTGACTGGTTCTATTTCATGTTTTTGCTGTTCTCACTAAGATTCTTGAAATTGTCACGAAAGCCCTTGAAGCTCTCATTAAATCCTTGAGCATTCTGATAACCATTGTTTTGAACTCTATCTTGTAGTATGTGCTCATCTATTTCATTTAGTTTGTTTCTGGAGATTTACTCAGTTCTTTCATTTGTGACATGTTTCTTAGTCTCTGAAATTTGGCTGCTTCCCTGTGTTTGTTTCTATGTATCAGGTAGAGCTGCTATGTCTCCTGGAATTGGTAAAATGGCCTTGCATAGTAGGTGTTCTGTAGGGCCCAGTGGCTTAGCCTCTAAGTGCACTCTAGGTGCACCCCTGTGTGGGCTGTGTGCACAATCTTGTTGTAGCTGAGCCCTGATTGCTGTTGGAATCACTGGGAAGAACTGAGCTCCAAGCCAATTGACTGTGAGGACCAGCTATTTCTATAGCAGGAGAGTTTCTGTACAGCAAATCCCCCTGTGGAGCAGAACTTGCTTCAGTGGGGCATTGGTGCTCAATGAGTCTGCCCTTTGAGTGTATTGCTTGTGGATGTGTAGACTTGAAATCTGCTGTGATCTGAAGCTGTCTAATGTGTGCATTGGCTCTGAGTCCTCCCAGAAGATGCAAAGTTAGCCAATTCCTAGGGCCACCTGGCAGGAGCACAGAGATATCTGCAGATGGCTGCTGCTTGTGTTGGGCGAACCAGTGCCTATGAGAGGCTGAACTGTGAAGCAAGGCAGGCTGCTGCTAGTGCCAGGCCTTAAGTCTTTTATTGAGAGGTATGGGGCATGCTGATTGCAGCTACTGCTTGTTTGAGAGATTTTAGGGAAACCTAAAGCCTGAGCCAGGTCAGGCCATTCATATGGAAATGCTGCTGAAAATAGCTTGGGTTGGGCTACAAATTTGGTGGGGTGAGGTTTCAGGCAAACAATAGGATGGAGCAAACAGTGTGCTCTAGGCTGATGGAGACTCAGGTCTGGCTGCCAGTCAGCTCTGTGGTGGAGGAGGTCTCAGCTTATGAATAGTGAATTCTGTGAGCACCCCAGTCTGGGATAAACCTACCCCCAAGTTCTTGTCCTAATGCCAAACAATCCAGTTCTTTTCTGTATGTCCCACAATCCCCTCAATCTGCTGCCCTAGTTCTGGGGCTCAGAGGGAGAGATTCTGGGTCAGTTCATGTTTTGGCCCTTTAAGAGGAACTCTGGGGCTCCTGCAGCCTCCATACCACTCAGCCTCAATTCCCACTGGTTTTTACTGCCTGAAGTTATAGAAACTTCTCTTCCTGGAACTGAAACCATGATCTGAGGGGCCTGGTGTGGAACTGGGATGCCTTGCTCCTCATGGATGGCCTTCACAGATGAGATATCCCACCTGCTCTAAAAATGGCACACATGGTGTCAGACTAGCCCATTCAGCCCCTCTGCCCATCCTGCCAGTCTCGGTGTACTTTCTTTTATACTTCTCTAGTTGTAGGACTTCCATTCAGACAGCTTTCAGGCACTTCTAAGTGATGATTGTTCTGTATTTTAGTTGCAATTTTGATGTGGTTGTGGGGGGCAGTGAGTACCGTGTTTACCTATGCAACCATCTTTGTTGTTCTACACAGTTTGAATGAGAAATGTTTTCATGCACTTGAGGGATATATGTTGAGTAACGGCCATCTCTAGGGAAAGGGTATAGGATGCTAAGAGAAAAAAAATCCTTAAAATATAATGATGATGAAAGAATATACACAAAATATAGGTCTTATATACCATGCCCTATGGTGTCATGTGAAGAAAAAGAAAGTACATATAAAATAGAATGGATGGGATATTATTTTATACTGGGACTTCAGGAAACCCTGCAAACAAGGTGACATTTGAACAGGGACCTCAAGGAAGTCAGAGTGGGAGACACAAGGTTGTTAGGGGTGCAGGAAAAGAGTCAGTGCAAAAACCCTGAGATGATATTTATTCCCTATATTCAAGACTCAAAAAGGATCCAATGTGGTAAGGGGAATAATCAGGAGGGGAACAATAATAGATGGTGTCAGAGAATATGAAGGAACAGGTGGTCTGTGCTCACAAAGAATCCCTTGTTCACATGTTGTTCCTGCACTTCATTAATTTTGTTTAAAATATATATATTGTAAATATTAATGGATTCACCTTTTTATTCATGTGTTGGTTAATATTCTAGCATCTGTTTTTTAACCAGTTAACTGCCATGGTATTTTAAATTTAATTAAAAATAGTCTGCAGGGCCAAAAATGGTTTGGCTCAGCAGATAGAGCATTGGCCTGTGGACTGAAAGGTCCCAGGTTCAATTCCGGTCAAGGGCATGTACCTTGGTTGCGGGCACATCCCCACTAGGGGATGTGCAAGAGGTAGCTGATCGATGATTCTCTCTCATCGATGTTTCTAACTCTATCCCTCTCTCTTCCTCGCTGTAAAAAAATCAATAAAATATGTGTGTGTGTGTTTTTTTAAATAGTCTGCTGCTTGCATTTATGCACTCTTATGGTGTACAAATGGTTAAGGAACACATTTTGGAGTATATGGGCTCAGATCCAACTGCCCCAGAACACACACACACACACACACACACACACACACAAACACACACATACACACACACACATGCCCTCCCCACAAACACCAGAGTGCATTATGAATTACTTTTGGGGACCATGTTATCACCAGGCTTTTCTCACCCCTTCATAATAATTAGAAAAGGAAACATATCCCAAAAAAAAATTTTTTTTTGGCGATATGGGGGGCCAGGCAGTAGTCCAACTCTAGTGGAAGAACTACTCCCTGCTCTGGCCCTGCCATCCCTTTTACTGAGGCTTTGGGGGGGAAAAAACATCTTAGGCAACATAAACAGAAATTTACATGTAGCCCTTAGGCAGGAAATAATAGAAATTTTCAAGGGACAAACAAGGTGGAGGCTGCTTCAGCTAACAATGTCTCAACTAGAGGGTGAGTGGTTAGAGCAATTAAGGTTGTTGACCAGCCTTCCTGGCTTCCTGTCAGCATCTCTCTTTTAGTGAAACTGATTTGTTCCCGGCACATTGCCAATTACTTTTTGGGGCCATGTTATCACCAGGCTTTTCTCACCCCTTAATAATAATTGTAAAAATAATGATACAAGGAATGACATCAACACCAATTTATCTTTATCCTGAAGAATATAGAAGCAGTATCAAATTCCAGTTGGTAAGCCTCCTGTGGACATGTAAACAGGGGACTCTATTTTCTCATGGCTATGTTGGATACCCTATTTAAAGAAACTTTAAAAAATGGTTAAAAAACAAGAGAGGCAAAATGGACATAAAGGGGAAAAATGTCTAATACTCAGGTGAGTGATGGAGATGAAGCAAAGCTCCTTAGCTCTGGCAGAATTCCAACCCCAGTTCTGTCCCCTGATGCCCAGAATAACTAATGAAGCAACAAAAAGCAATTTATCCCAGAGAAAAAAAAGTGATATTCTACATATTTACAAGATGCTGTACAGATTGAACATTCCTTTGGAAAAAGGAACAAAGGAAACAAACACACAATCTACATCAGCTAATACAATAAACAATAATGCGG